GTATGCAGAGATGGCATGTGTTTAATCTGAGGATGAGAAGTAGATGGTACCTAAAGAGAATGATTGCAGTGTATTCTGTTGCCCTGTGCTTCAGAAAAGACAGGGCAACTCAACAGCCTCCCCTGCCCAGGCGCACAACTGCATGGTCTCAAATGAAAATGGCTATTATGCCTGCTACTTAAGATGAGATCACACATGCATGTATCTAGTGACCATCATAGATCAAATCCCACAAAAAGAACTTTTGATACCATGTTAGCTTAAAAAAATAACTTTTCAAGGGAAGCAATCCACACATTGACTGGGTTTGCATGCCGTAATGACCCATCTTGGAATATTTGCAGTTATACTAATATAGGTTGAAAATTTAAAATAAATTTCACAAATATTTGTGAAAATTATGTGGAACAAGACATGTTTTTAAAACATTGAACAAACATGGATGAAACCTATCAAAATGGGAAGCTGTAAAAATGATGGGCTGGCTTTTGCAATATCCAGGATAAAAACGAAACCTTTGCGGGGAGAAAAGGCATGGCAAGCCCCAATGGCTCACAAATGCAACAAGGAGGTGATAGGAGAACTTGTACCTCCTCTGGTGTCTCCTGGGATGCCCATGAGAAGACCAAGGGGCTAGGGAGGGGCCTAACAACCCACAGTGAGTCTGATGTTCCTCTGGACTCGCTGTTGGTTGTTCACAAGGCAACCAACATATTATGGTTTAGTGTCAGGGTCGGTTCATGCGACATGCCAGTGTGTCCATTCTGTTGCTCAAATGAAGGGTAATCAAGTGAGGTAAATGTGAACTAGTCAGTAGTGTTTTTCCTACCTACCTTTACAGTGTTTGGTTCTACTGACTTTTTATTTCTCCTGTTTGTAGTTTTAGCATGGTACAAAGACTGGTTTCATGTCGCTTAGTGCATGTACACTGGTACTTGCCATGCAAGATTCTGGGAATTTATATCCAAACAGATTTATACAACAGTCTTACAGTATTAACCTCCTATCCATCTTGACTAATGGATTACCAGTAAATATTATGCAAACATTTATAATTGTTTTAGCTGAGAAACAAATATTGCTGTTGGAACAGTAGGCACCTCAGAGCCATGTTTCCCAGGCATAATTCAACATGAATTTTAATCTGGGTCAATGAACAACACAGATCCAAAACAGCTCAACTCTATCCTATTCTCCTTGAGAAACATTTATAGAAAGTTTTGCTTAAGTTTGTATATTATAACTTTCAACTGATTTGTGGAACACTCCACAGAGCATTACATATAATTTATTACATGTAATAGATCTCTAAAAAAAAGAGTCAAGGCTTCTTACAGCAGGGGTTAAAATTTATGGATATTTAAAACCATTTTTAAAAACTAAAAACATTTTTATTAATTACACACAAAATTTTCAACATGACCTGTGTAGGAAAACATCCCAGGATATGATGCAGTAGCTCAGGATAGGCAAATGATGGATTCAGATCTATTGGTAAACTTCTGGGTGAATTGCAGTAGTTCAGCAAGGATTTTTGATCCCCAATAATTTAACAATAGCAGCTACTTGCCTCACTGTCCTCCCCAATTAGCGAAGTGGGGAGGCGTAGGAGGGTGCCACCATGGATATGAAGAGAGGTGGTAAGAGGGATTAGAAGGAAGAGGGACCTTCACAGGAAATGAACCACTGGGACAAGTGGACAAAAGGAAGAGGTGGCACAATGCAGAAGGATTCTTCACAAGGCTAAGGCTGATTATGAGCTCAGACTTGCAAAGAATGTCAAGAGCAACAAAAAGTGCTTCTACCTTCATGTAAATAGCAAGAGGAAGGGGAGACAGGTGATGGGACCACTTAAAAGGGAGGGAGGGGATCTGGTAACTGATGTAAGAGAACAGGCACAGATGTTAAATTATTTTGCTTCTGTGTTCTCCCCAAAGAGGGTTGGGGAAGTTCTACCTGGGGAACTAGATGAGGCTGAGGTTATGGGGACACAGATTGGAGTCACCTCCCTAGAAGTCAAGGAGCTCCTCAGGGCCCTGGATGTTACAAAGGCACCAGGCCCAGATGAGCTATACCCAAGGGTACTTTGGGAATTGGCAGGGATGCTTTCGCATCTCTTGGCCTACATTTTTGAGGCGTCATGGAAAATGGGAGATGTTCTGGAGAATTGGAGGGTGGCATCAGTGGTTCTAATCTTCCAAAAGCATAGCAGAAGGGATATGAGGAATTAGAGGCCAGTTATGCTTACATCCATTCTGGAAAGACAATGGAAAGGGTCATGTTAGGGAAAGCTCTAGAAATCCTAGGTAGAGATGGTAGGTTGGCAGTCATACAGCATGGATTCCGTAAAAACAGATCCTGCCAGATAAACCTTGTGGAATTCTATGGCCATGTCTCAAGGTGGCTAGATGGAGGGGACATGGTAGATGTGGTTTACCCGGATTTCAGCAAGGCCTTTGACAAAGTGCCGCATGATATCCTGGTTGAGAAATCTGAGATAGATCTGTCCGATAGATTAGAGCATGGTTGACAGACTGCAAGCAGAGGGTGACTATCAGTGGGGAATCATCAGGTTGGCAGCCAGTGATGAGTGGAGTTCTGGGACCAATTCTGTTCAACTTTTTTTTATCAATGACATGGAGGAGGGGGATAACCAGTCTGCTGATCAAATGTACAGATGATACCAAAGTGGAAGCAGTGGCCACAACTAAGGAGCAGGTGATCCAGATGGATCTGGACAGGCTGTGGAAGTGGCCAGGGGACAACAGGATGACATTCAATGTGGGTAAGTGCAAGGTCTTGCACTCAGGACACAGGAATAGGTATCACAGGTACAGGATGGAGGACAAGTGGCTGGAGAGCAGCACTTGTGAAAGGGATCTCAGGGTTCTTGTTGACAGCAGGCTGAACATGAGCCAGCAGTGTGACGTGGCGGATAAGGAGACAAACACCAGCCTTGGATGTATAGCCAGAAGCATGCCTTCCAGATCTAGGGAGATGTTGATCCCATTCTAGATGACTCTGGTACACCCACAACTGGACTACTGTGTCAGTTCTGGGCTCTACATTATAGGAGAGACATAGGTTAGAATCGGTTCAGTGCAGGATCACAAAATGGTAGCCAGGTTGGGAGGGATGAAATGGGAGAGATTGAGAGAATTGGGTCTTTTCAGCCTGGAGAAGAGGAGACTCTGAGGGGATCTTTTAGCAACTTATAGGAATGCAATGACATGTCCTGTGAAGGAGGGCCATTCTTTTGTACCAGGTTCTAGGTCATGGATCTCCAGCTTCTAGGGAAATAGAACTTGTAAGCCTGAAGTCTATCTATCCTGTACAAACTCATTCACAATTTATACATATTACCTTTCATCCTGGAAAAATCCATGTTTGTTTGCTATTAAGGATAATTAATCTTAAATCTACTCTTAATGCAACCTCCCTTTCCCTTTTTCACCTTTGATGGATCTACTGAACAATCATTTACCTCCTTTCTTCTAATAACATTGAAGGGTAAGTTCCAGATTAAAAGTTTTTTAGCACATGAGTCGCAATGGGAGAGATTTAAGAATATACTAAAAGCTGTTTTAAGCTGAGCTACCCTGAACCATGATCCACTGAAATCATTGGAAATAAAAAAATGTTTAACTTTGCATGGACTGCACAATACACATTTCAGCTGCTTCACACAAAGTCCTTAGAACTTACCCCTTGGAACTTTTCTGTATGTGCCTTGCTGACATTTAGATTTTAGTAAGCTTGTATTATGTTTGCAAGCTACCTGAGAACATTTTGAGAGGTGTTGTATGAATCTCAACAATAAATAATGCTCATGATCCTGATAGCTCTCTTCTGTATTCATTTGATTGGTCAATATCCTTCTTCAAGTATGGAATCAAAAACCGATCACAGAAACTCGAGCAAATTCTCCATTTTTGCTGCATCTCCATCAAGAGTGTTACAGGGTGGAGGGGTTGCTTTAGGATGTTTCAGTGTAAAATGGACATCTCAGCATTTTGTGGCATGTTCTTGTAGATATTTACTGGAAAGAAGCCAATTTGCTATATCTGTTTGGGTCCAGCTTTTCATGTCAACAGTCTAACACGAAATAGGATGGTAACAGGCAGAGTAACCCTAAACCCCAGCTTGCTAGAAGGGAATTAGGCAGAGAGATCTGTGGGTGGAAAAGTATCTTAGGGTGCAATCTGAGTCTGGATTTGAACTCAGGTTAGTCCAGGGTGCTATACTGGGGCCAGGCCTGACTGAAGAATGAAGTGAGGGCATGATCCAGGGTAGTCATGTATTTCTCAGTGGTAGCATAAACTGCCCTTGATGAGTTCCCAACACTGATGCCCAGTAGTGATAGCCATGCTGAGCTTAATCTACCAAGGTGGGTTGATGTGAGATCAAAACACTGCCTTGATGGTTGTATGAAGGGTGGGGTGGTTATGTGAGAAATAAAATAACTTTAACATATTCTAAAGTATTCAATTTATGGTGCCTCTCGATGGACTGACAAACTATCTGAACTGGCCTGTCAATGAGACATTTGAACTCTTGCAGCAAGTCTGTTCATTTTCATGGCAATAAAGAAGTACTATCAAGAGCCCATCTCCTGCTATGGTCCAGTGGGCAAGGGGAATAGACAAAAAAGTGTTCCTCTGTCCAGATTATCACTGCTCGAGCATCAGATGCAGTATTAATCACATAAATATGAGTGCTAAGGAACAAAGGCTGGTCACACTGAACAGTTTGTATTAATGATCAGTATAACTGAATTGGTTGTTTGTACAATACAATGATCCAGAGTAACAAAGATTCTAGAAGATGGGAAAAGAAGTCCTTTAATCTAATTCAGGTTACTGTGATGCACATCAGAAGGGTCTCCACATGGGGTAAAATAAGCCAGTGACTGGAGAATTATCGCTCAACAGAGTGTAACAAAGATTCCCTCCCCACACACACACACTTAACATTCATCTTCCTCTGCTCTTCTGTTCCAGAGACATTCTTCTGCTACGCCTACAAAGATTTCCATGAAATTACAAAGTCAAGGTAGGCTTTTGCTTTAATGTGTCATTGTTTTTCATTTGGTAAACGGACATACTGAATAGAGCCTATAATCTCCCTAGTGGGCTATCCATCTCTCACTACCTCATGCCTGCACAATCTTTTTAAATTGATTTTAAAAAATTTGGCCTTTTATAATTGATTCTATTAAAGGAAGCAACTCTTAGAAAAAGAACAGAAATACCTGGCTTCTGAGAAAACTATAATAAAAGTAACATATTCTGTTTGTTACTATGGGATCCCTACTGGACTTGGAAATGAACAAATTATCCTGGTATTACATCTCAGTATGAGCCGTCCTGTATCTCATCTACTTAAGTTCTATTACAGTAATTTCAGTAATGAGTTTATATCTCAAATTATTAATTCTACCAACCAAATGGCATGAGCATTTCCTTTCTACCTCATGGAGATACACTGTTTTCCCCATTAATGCCCCCTTGCTTGTGGAAAGTAAGGGACACATGTCAAAGCCTAGTGCTGTTATTTCATCCTTGGAACTGCAGTAAGTCCCACTTTGTTGAGTGGAACTTACTTTGAAATGATGTGCAGGATCACATCCTGTGCTTACTATTTATCTCTAGTCTTTAAGATAACATGATGCTGTAGTTCAAAGGCATGTGGGCTTCATTCATTCATTCATTCATTCATTCATTTATATTATTTATTAGATTTGTTTAAAAGCTGCCTGTTAGCATCATGCTCTCTGGGCAGCCATCACAGTATAAAATCAACAAATAACTTTAATATAACAATACAATTAAAATACCATAATAAACAGAATAAAATCACAGTAAAATACTTAAATAAAAATAAAACATATGTTGATATAATTAAAAACCTGAGACTTGATGTAAATAGCTAGATGGGGCCAAAGGTGCACCAGAAAAGGAAGGTTTTTGCCAGGTGCCTGAAACTCAGCCTGGTGAATCTCCAACGGTACAGTGTTCCTTAATTGGGGTGCCAGCACAGAAAAGGTTTTAAGTTATACTTCTAGGCCGAATAAAAGCTTTATTAGTTGTGAATTATTGTGTTTAAATGATTGTGTCATTGTGTTTAATTGTTCTATGAAACACAGGGTAAGAGCAAATGTAAAGTGCTTTTTATACTAAGGATGTAGTCCTACCGTGGTGCCAATAAGCCCTGAACATCCTGTAAGCCGTCCTGAGATGCCATGCATAAGAGACAGCATATAAAAGTCTTAAATGAATGAATGAATGAATGAATGAATGAATGAATGAATGAATGAACGAACGAATGTGGGGGCATCCAGTGCAGACCTGGAGGAGCAGTGGAGGCCATGCCTGTCCTCTCCTCAGCATTTTCATTGAAACAGGCCTTTTTTGTCCAGCCAGAATGTCTTGGAGAGGGAGGAAAGGAGACAGAAGTAGTTTCAGGATACCTTGTATCCTGGCCTCCCCAGTCTTCTTCCTTCCCTGCCCCTTTTTACCTCTTCTGACATGGCTTTCTTAACCTTGGAGAGCTGCCAGTGCCTGCTGGAAGGGCATACTGGTGTAAAGCTCCAGTTTCCAGCTCCCAATTCAAAGTGCAAGCCAGCCTCAGGTCTGGGAATCTGAAAAATTCTGTAATCCTCAGATGCAGTCAAGAGGCCATAGGATCACTTCCACAGTCACATAAATGTTTAGAATCTTAAAGCAAATATTTTACTGAGCAGACATTCCATGGTTTTAATTATTTTATTTCTTTTGATTGCTTTTTATTGCTGTACCATGCCTTGAGTATGCCTTCCAATTCAGCAAGAATGGGAGATAAACCACCCTTTATAAATAATTGTGTTTATTAATGTTTAGCTTTTTTAAGGGAACTTTGCTTGAGGGAAAAATATTTCAGGATTGCACATGATGGAGTCTGATTTTTTAAAGGCAGATTTATGGAATAAATCACCCATGGGAAGGGGATGGGAGATCTTTTGCATTTATGTGTTTTAATACAATAATTCATATCCCACCCAGCTAGTGAAACTATTCTCCCATGTAAACATAAAAGCATAAGAGCTGCACTGAATGAGAGACCAGGGGTCCATCTCATCAAGCATTATGTTTACAAAGTGGCCAAACCAGCTGCCTGCGGGATCCCAGAAGGAAGGCAAGGTGCAGCAGCAGCTTCCTGCCCAATTCCGTGCAAATGGTGTGCTCAGGCATGCTGCTGCTGATATTGCAGGTGGCTTAGAGCCATCAGGACTAGTAGCCATTCATAGCTTTTCCCTCCATGGATTGGTCCAATCCTCTTTTTAAACCACTCCAAATTAGTGGTCATTACTACATCTCATTCTATGGAATTCCATGCATTCCTTCACACACACCTCACAAAGAAGTACTTTGTTTACCTCTCCTGAATCTTCCACCAGTCTGCGTCACAAGATTTATTTATTTATTAAAAGCTTTTCTATCCTGTCCCCTACAAATGTCTCAGAATGGCCCCAGAGTCAGGTATTATGTGTGAAGAAGGTGGATCCATTTTCTATCCACTTTCTCCACACCACGCAGACCTCTTATCTGTTTTCTTCTCATCTATGATTATCCATGAAAAATGTATTTCAATATGAGCATGCCTTTTATACTTGTCTCTTAGTTGAAATTTATGCACTTCTGACCACCACATCATTTTAAGTGTTAATTGTTATTCATTACTAATCAGACAAATTATTTGAAAATAAATTCCCTTGACTACCAAAATGATGAAGATTAAGCTATATAGATGTAATTTTATATTTATTCTGGGAAGTATCCTAATAAGCCCATGAGCTCACAGCGGTTTGTTTGTTTGTTTGTTTGTTTATTTATTTAGAGCATTTGTATGCCGTCCCATCGCATAGCTTCGGGACGGCTTACATAACTGCTCATCCAATTTTAAAAATAAACTGAAATAAGTGGAATGGCTAATTTCTGGAAAAGAAAGCTTCTTGAGTACTTGAATGTTTGCATGCTTTTTGTGGCATTTAGGGTAATTCTAATAAAGGTATTGCCCAACTGTAGGTTTTGTTTTTCCCCACTAATTTCTGGATTTTTAAAGTTGTTTTTCCCCCCAATAGTGCTTTGTATATTGTATATTTAAATTTATCCCTTGTGCTTTCAAACCACCCAATCACTGAAGATTTGATCATGCTTCAAATTATTTAAATCTATCCACTCTGCACAAACATCTTGACACTCTCTGCCAAATTAGAGTCACATAGGAGTTAAAATGGATAGTTTCAATACAGTGAACTTTGAGACAACAGTTTACAGTTTGTAAGCTTAGGTTTTGCCATGATGCACTCCAGCCACCTTTTCCTATGTGGTATCTCCAGGTGTTTGAGTGTATGACTTCCATCAGCCTCAAATAAAACACTCCGGAACAACAGGATATATAGTCCAAAAAATATCCTATTTATCCTAATATGGAGGGTGCCATATTATTAGGAGGTATACAATTCAGTCTTTTAACAGAAAATAAAGAGTGGATCAGAATTCAAATTCACAAACAACTAATTTTGGGTGGACTGGATATCATGCTATTTAGCCCTGTGCATTGGGGCTTGTCAAATTACCCAACTGAGATGGAAGGGCAGGTTAGGGCATTCTTTGAACTGGTTGCCCAAATAAGTGCCAACATTTGTGGGCATCTGTCAAAATAATATCAGCTTTGATCTCGCAGACGACACATACAAAGATATTCCAGATTTGAGTTTCAAAGGTACTACAAAGATAAGTTTATAAACTTGCATTTTTAATGTTTTAGGGACTTTTCGGTTGAGATGTTTAGAAGTGGTTCTGGAATGTTCAAGGTGTGGGCTTTGCCTGGCACTGAGACAGAAGGTGACTGACAGAATAAGGAAAGTGAGAAACCAAGATAGTGAGCTTATTAAGTTGTGTTTGGCAACCATGTCTAAGGAGCACTGCCTTCAAAAATGTACAGTCAGGAAAAAGGTTAGTTAACTCTTGTTAGATGGATCCTTTTATCCTGCTTAATGAAGGGAAGCAACATCATAGAGCTAATCTCCATGTCGGAACTGTCAAGAACACTCTTGATTGTTTTTGCAAATATGAGATTGACTGGAATATGAGGGTACCAGTTAATAATAACCTATTTTATTTCTCATTTAGGATTCTGAAGTTCTGGAAGCAGTAAGCATTCTCACAGTGTGGCATTGTCGGCCACTTAACCTTGAGAAGGAAAGTGACATTCAAGTTCTCCTTCTTCCAAAATTGTCTTTTTCAGAAGGAATTGGTGGTGCTGTTTGTGCATTTGTAAGTGGCACGGGAGCCAATAATGTGACATAGGTAACACAAAAGCATTTGCTGGAGAAGAACAATTCAGACTTGTCTAATTTTTTAATCTGCCCTTTTCTTTTTATTTTTAACCAAGTTTTATCCTCTCAAAACACTGCCAAAAGATGCCAGCCAAGACACCTATCTACCTGAAAGCTGACAACAATAAGAAAGGGAAGAAATTCAAGCTGAGGGACATTTTGTCTCCTGACATGATCAGCCCACCTCTTGGCGATTTTCGCCATACAATTCATATTGGCAAAGAAGGGCAACATGATGTCTTTGGCGACATCTCCTTTCTGCAAGGAAATTATGAGCTCTTACCTGGGAACGACGGTGAAACAGCTAGCCAGTGTGAAGGCCACAGCCAGTTCCTAAGAGCAAACAGCACCTCTGACTCTGTGTTTACTGAAACGCCTTCTCCGGTGCTCAAAAATGCCATATCACTTCCTGCCATCGGTGGTTCTCAAGCCCTCACACTGCCCTTGTTGTCACCGGTGACATTTAATTCAAAGCAGGACTCTTTGGGGCCATTAAGGAATCCCAGGCATAGCTGTGAACCTGTAATGGAAGAAAAGTTGCAGGAGAAGAGCAAACACTTGGAGAATGGGAAAATATACAAAGATGACATCACATGGGAGCGGAATGTCCCAACTTCGCATTATACTAATGGAAGAGACAGTCATTCATCCAGCCTTTCGGAACAATACACTGAATGGCAAACAGAGGAGTTATTTGACAACGGCCATCTTTCATGTGATCTATCCAAGACTCAGCCGAAATCAGAAGACGCCCTTTCAGATTTGGCAGAGCCTCTCTTTTCTTTGCAACTTGACCTTGGGCCCTCACTTTTGGATGAAGTACTCAGTGTAATGGACAAAAACAAATTATAGAATCAGTTTCTCTTTTCATTTCACTTATTCATATAAACACAACTGAAATGTGTGGGCACCATCCATCCAAAGTTAAGCAATCAACACTGCAATTCTATGCACACTATTTTGGAAATACGTCTTGTTGAACTCAATGTGCCTTACTTCTTAGGAAAGCATTGGGTGGACATCCATTGATTTCAATGGGAAAGTTATGCATGGATTTAAATCAGATCCAATAAAAATGAATAGGATTTAAACATGCTTATGTTTGGATGGATAGTGCCTTATTGTGTGTGTATATACAAAATCAACTCTCTTCGCAGTTGACAAGTTTTCTAAGAACAAATGACTTTAAACTATTTTTTTACATAATTTCCATGGTTTTTTAACATGCCAAATGTCTCATAATGAGGACATATTTTAACAACACAATTTTCAGCTGAATTAAAATGTTTTCTAGAACCAAGAGATTTTGTCAATATAATATTTAGGTGAAATCTGCAAGTTAGGATCATTAACTCAATTCATTTTCAGAAACCCTTTGGTTCTCAAGGGTCCCATGTGTGCCAGACAGAAGATTTATGAAGTGAAGGTGAAATGTTAATTAGTTCAACATTACTTAATATGTAACTCCTCTCCTTTCCAGAATGATAAGGGTTTTTCTTTTATTAGCAATGTTTTTTTTTCATTCTGGCTGCACTGTTATTGTTGAATGTTAATGCATAGCTCTGTGCTCAAGTGGGAATGGTTTTTTCTGTTTAAGTATTATGGAAAATATATGTAGCCAATACAAACTGGTGCAATTGAACTTAATGGAGCTTCCTGTGTGAGCTCTTACTCCAACATCTCTTCAATCTTAGACAATCCAATCTAAAAGAGATTAAAAGACAAAACTGCAGGAGCCATTACATTATTTTATGAGCTGAGATCTATTTTTGGACATTAAAATAGTTCTGTACCCACACATGCACACACACAAAGATTGCACCAGAGAGACTTTGCTTAACATTTGCTTGGAGAGCCTTTGTATAAACTGTATATTTGTGTGTGTTTTCGAAAATACGTATTTGATTCTTTAGCTTTGTTCCTTCAGTTATTGACTTTGACACACAAATGTTTAAACTTTTGCAATAGGTCATCTTACGGTTTAGAGGACAGCACTGGTTACCCACAAAGCTCTAATGGTGCTGAAGCAAATGATACTCCAGGGAATATAGAGATACTATATCCCTGCATTGCGTAGATACTTTGTGCAATACCGTAAAGAATAAATGTGGATAAATAAATAAATCCTATTTATTGTGTTGTGATTGAATTATACTCCATAAAGGAACAGTTTATTTCAGGTTGTAGTTGAAGATTGCTTACCATATCTTACTAGCTCTAAGCCTTAATGGTGTCAAGAGGAAAGTCATCTCCATACTAAGATTGTTGCTATGTGCCACAAGTTGCATACACCACCAGTGTTCGAATACTTTTTTAAAGATTTTGCAAAATTTGTTCATCATAGTCCAGAGTCTCTTGTGCACAGAGCTCTTTTGTGCGCTGGCTGCATATGCTTGTGTACACATAGGGATGGGCATACAGATCTGCTTCCTTTACTGAAATGAATATGGCAACTCTTTCAGGGATTAGAATTCACCTGCTCACAAAAGAGTCCTGGTTTAAGACACTTTCATTCACCAAACTTTTGTTGCTTTAAAAACAAAACAAAACCCTGGGATATATCTATCTGTTCAACATTTTCAGTAATGTGCATCTCAACAGTTGTACTTAAGACAGCTATATTCTCATGCTATTTGAACAGAGCAGGAGTTGTCTACTTTTCCTACAATACTTGCCACATCTGCAAGTGCATTTACAATCTCACTAAATCTATAGAAATTTAACCCACGCTAGTTAATGTCCATGTATCCGCAAATCTATGTACGCAACCTGTGAACATGATAATGGTACCATATCAAGACCTTGTTCACGTTTTGGTACTGCATGGCTTGCTTATGCCATTCTGATGTCCCAAGCCATTCTGCTTGTGCTTCTATTAAAAAACAGACTTAGAAATAGCACAGGACTAGAGAAGCACTTTGATAGTTAAGCAGCTGCTTTCTTCATTTCATTGCTGTTTCTAGAGATAAGGAATGGCAGTCGTTTCTTTTCCCTTCCCAGTAAGCCAGACTTAACTTTTGCAGATTAGCCATACAGAAGGGTAGAGACGATGTGAAATACTAGAGTGGAAGCAGGCAACCCAGTGCTTCCTACAATTCCCATAGTTTATGCTAACGGGGGATGTGTGAGGAATCTGTTTCAGGGGTGGGAATCTGTCTGATTTCCATGGGCTCAGACCACTTTCCTGCAGCTGGGAGCCTGACTTCCAGGCAAGCACACCAAATTTCTATGTGGCACTCACCAGGAATCAAGCCCCGTGTGACTGTTGTGCAAGCAATATTCTGCTTCCGCTCCAGCCCTCTTCTGCACATCTGCTTGCACCCTTTGTGATGCTGCACATGATGTGGAAGAAGGTTGCTGCTTACACAACTGGACTTGTGGTCTTGCATTCATGGACTTCCTTTCAGCTCAGTTTGCTTTCTAAGAAAAAAGTCTGCAAACTCAAGAGGGACGGATGCTTTAGTTGCCAGTTTGTAACAGAAACCTTACAGTAAACATACAGACTGAGAGAGGGATATGAGGAATTTGCTGTTGAACTGCAACTACCATCAGCATAATTGTCACCTGGTGTATGTGTGTATTTTTGTTTTTTGGTAGAAACACAGAGTATAAATCAAACAAATAGATATTGGCCATGCTTAGTCCCTACCCCTTAGCTAAGATAATGTGTTTTGATTGGAAAAACTTGACACCAAATGGAGAAAGAGGCCTTTGAGCCAGACTTGTAACTTCTATTGTTTGGCATAGATAGTCATTGCCATCTTGTTTCCAAAGGATAAAATGGTTTTATCTTTAAATGGTTAAAGATAAAACATTTGGTTTGTTGGCATAGAAGTAGGTAAGTGTCAGAGTGCTGGAAAAGGCTTGCAAAGACCAGTTTAGGTTTGTGGCAGAGAAGAGAACATCTATGCCTGCTCCTCCAACACTCTTGTCCATTCATCTGTCTGTCATTGTCTGATACATTCCTGGACAGGGACTAAGGTTAAAGAAAAATGTTCTGTATCTTTCACTGTTTAGTGCACTAGTGGGGCTCATTTCTGAAGAACAAAAAGTAAAGACCAAGTATTTGGAAAACGCAGATGAATTCAATAAGCGTGAACTTTCCACCTTCTGTCAAGTCAGCAACTAGATGTTTGGAAGGTGTTGGGGGGTATGTGAGAATGGTTTCATCTCTGGCAGGACCACTCACTCTAGTGGAATCAGAATGTGTAGTTTTCCAGGACCTGCACTGACCAGAAGTCTGATATTTTTGGCTGAATGCAGTATTCCAAGCTTGAGGCAGTCCCTTATGTTACTTTTATGAAAGTGCTATGCTTTGGAAAGAGATCTCCCACAAGGGAAATATATCAGCTAATCTTACAATTAAGATAATATCCTTCTGTGCTTTGTGCTCTTTGATGATTCCCCTTGCCACTTTGCTGGATAGCAAAGACTTTTGTTTAAATAGCATTCTCTTCTACTTGAGCTCATCAAATCAGAATGCTGACTTTATGAGATCCTGGCCATTTTCACAGCAGTAGACTACTCCAGGGAAAATCAGCAATAGAAAGTGGGTAATGCTGTTCTGAAACCACAAGATGAAGGCAAAATTACTAATAAAGCTTATTTGCTAATATAAATATTTTTCTGTAGGTTTTCTGGCAGGAAGTATGGGACATGATCCAACCCAAGTTAAGCACTCCTATAACCCATTGGTTTCAGTGGAAGAATAGAGACTGAAATCTCTTTTCTGTTGAAGTCAATGGAATTTCAAAGTGCTTATCCTTGGCTAAACTGTGACTTTTGTCTTTTTAACAGAAAAAAAGGATTTGTCCATTTTTAAATACCCATATTTAGAGTACTAAAAGGCTATGTTCATTGTAACTGGGGGGAGGAGGTAGCATATCTGGAAAATGAAAATCACAGGTAGCCATGTTGGTCCATTTGAAACAGGTGGGAGTAAAATATGGTCATGCCTTTATTGGACTTGGAGAGCTTGATCTGCTAAATTGCAACCCTCTCTTGTGTATAAGGAGCTGCCACAGCCCCAGACATTTCACAAGTGTTGGGATAAAGCATTGTGGGAACATCCATAAGAGATTTAAATCCAAGACATACAGGAAGCATTGGGTTCTCTGAATCTGCAGGGGCTGATCACACGCCTGGTCCCTAACAACTGCCACTAGCAATTCTGTGTGATTTTTACCTTGGAATATTGGCTCTATTCACATGCTAACCCAGGCAGTAAGGGCTTCTTTACATGAGGGGTTTAACTTGCTACTGTATGGAGGCTTATTCTATTTTTTCTTTCATTTCAAAATTAATAATAATGATAAAATAATAATTGTTGTTGTTGAGAAAAAGCACATTTTTCTATGGCACTTTTTCCTGGGGTTTGTATTTCTCTGTCTTCCAATATATGCTATGAACCAAACCCAAAATGGTGCTGTGGTGTAACTGCAATGCAGTGGATTCTCATCTTTTCATGAACCTTTGCTCAAGATTGTCATGATTTAAAATTAATTAGCATATTTTCCTCACTCTAAACACATCTGGAAAAAGGGCTGGAAAGCTCAGGAGAGGCTCTGGGGGACATTTATTTGTTTGTTTGTTTGTTTATTTTCTAGCCTGCCCCATTAGTCACACTGCTCCTTGGGCAGGTTACAGCAAAAAATGACATTGTGAAAAGGCCCCACAAGCTTCCATGAGTGACGAAACAGGACAGTATGAGAGATTCCTTTTGCAGGGAAGCCCTTAGATCAAAGGATGCTAGTCAGGAATGCCTGGTTCTTCAAACTGTATCTGAGCCATTGCCACAAATAGCAGTTGCTCTGAAATGTTTTTGGAGATTTAAACTGGAATTTAAGTTTGCTACTTCAGCACTTTGGCAGTTATGTGGTATTTCAGTGTTGTTTCAGTGCTAAACTCAATCCTGATGCTTTGTTTGCTTCTAAAGTTGCTGGTGTTTTTCATACATAAAACATAGAGAAACTTCTACAGGCATTCAGAATACTGTACATCTCTTTCTGGGGCTTAAATGGAATATGAAGATCAGCTCATGACAACAGAACTCTGTTTTAGTCTATCATCCCCTTAGAGATTGCAAATGATTGCAGAAAATAGTCAATCCTTGACAGACTGCATCAAAATGCTTTAGCCCCATGTCATATGGTATTGGTCCACTATTGTTCCCACCCTGAAAAGGAGCAAGAAACTACCTTTGACACAGCCTTAAAACAGTCTGCCTTCAATTTAATCCTCTGCACATTCTACTGGCAATGGCATATTCAGGATATACTTTGCAGACTGTCATGGTAGTTAAATGAACAGCATCTGAAGCATCAACTCAACCACATTTTGAATCTTAGAGAATCATCCAAGACTGTCAGTCAAGGAACAAATAACATTTACCAGGTGCTGTGCTAGCACTACTTCTAATAATTGATCTGAATTTATGAAACTCTTGAAATCAAAGTCCAATTTCTGTTTGTTTGTTACATTTCTAGACTGCCCAATAGCCGAAGCTCTCTATGCTATTCATAGTACTGAGTTGGACCAACCAAATTATAGAAATGTATGAGTTTAAAACTACAGTATAAAATAGAAGTAAAAGCCAAAGTACAACCTAGCTGTAGTACAGAGATTTAAAATACAGTAAAGGGTTTTAAACAACAGAGATTCAAAACATAAAATAATTGGGACAATTCCTGGTAAAATAAGTTGTGCTCCTGACACTGAGAAGACATAGATGCCAGGTGAGCCTCTCTGGGGAGCGCATTCCAGAACTGGGGTGCCACAACAGAAAAGGCCTTCTCCTTAAGCAGCTACCCGACTCACTTGCTTCAGGAGGAGTTCTCAGAGAAGGACAACAGAGGACAACCTCAGGGTCTTAGAAGGTATATATGGGAGGAGGTAACCTGTCCCCAAGCCTTTTAGGGCTCTGAACATTAGTACCTCCTGCTTCTTGCCTCACTTTTCTTCACCCATCACTCACTTCTCCTTTTAATTAAGTTTTTAGTCGAGGAACCGATTCAAGAAAGGAAAGAAATGAAAAAGGAGCAACAGGAGAGTTGTGGGGTGGACTAGTTTGGGTGGACTAGGAATGAGCATCATTAAAAGCCTGTTTCATTACAGAAACAAAAAGGTCATAATAA